GCTGAGAAAGTAACCCACAGTGAGGACAAAAACTGCACACTTGTGTAACCCAAAACTTTGTGGTTTACAGCTTTACACTTGAGGTTTGGTGTTTTCATTTGCTGGTCTGGAAGCTGTGGAAAGCTCAAGTATTACAGCCCCCATCAAAACATATGTGGACAGGGGTCAAGCATGCACACCCTTCATGCATACATATGTCACTGTGTAGAGTCAATAGTGAGTTTCTTTGCTTCTGATAGTGTATGTGCACATTTTCTATGTGATCATACATATACACAGTTTATATAGGGTGTGCATTTCTTCTATCACTCAGAAAAACCAAACAAAAGTGCTAGTAAATATTGTGATACCTACCTTTATAGGTGTGATAATACACGACTTAGGAGTTTTACCGGTTGCTGTTTGCATTTTAAATCATAAATACCTTACAATTCAGCCACATATGAAATGCAGTATATTATCAGTTTGCTTATTTAACTAGTTACGTTAATTCCCTGAATGTTCTCTACCCAGCTTACTGTGCATATATGTGCATTAACACATACATACATATCCATAAGCATACACAATACACATGTACATAAGAACACTGACCAAGGCTCTGGTTGTTCCAGAGATGTGAAACTTGATTTTGTAGTTTAATTTTGTGGTACAAGAGGTTTTGCAAGGCACAAAGACTGGTCATACAGACAGAATCACTATTAGATAACGCTATGGTAATATAGTATGGCTAAGATAATTTGTTACTTGTAGTTGACATAAACCACACTATATTGGTGTTACTCAGTATTTATGTATGTACCTAAGTAACTATATATAATGGACATGTGTGTGAATGGCATTTTCTAACAAAGGGTGGAAAAGAAGTTAACAGTATCACTACTAAGCTAGAGGTAAAAATCAGTGTAAAGCTTGTATTTTGAATCACTGAGACCTCTTACGTAAAAATTTTGGAGCTGGTTCTCAGATGTTGAATCATTTAGGTAAATGCCATATGCCAGAAGCAATTGTTTCTGATTTTCACAAAAAGACCTCTGGAATTTTCATGAAAACTTAGTCTCTTGGTTCAGTATGTGTATGTTTAGATATAAACTGCCTGCTTGTATTCTGAGGGAATCTTAGGCTGCACACTTAAGCATTAGCAATACCTTTCTGTGATTTTTGGTGCATAATAATAGAATCATAGAATAGTTAGGGTTGGAAAAGACCTTAAGATAATCATGTTCCAACCCCCCTGCCATGGGTAGGGACACCTCACACTAAACCATGCCATCCAAGGTTTTGTCCAGCCCAGCCTTGAATGCTGCCAGGGATGGAGCATTCACAACGTCCCTGGGCAACCCATTCCAGTGCCTATCTCAGATGCTGCAGGGTGGGCAGTGGGTGTCCTTCTATCCTGGGCACCCCAGCCAGGGGTGGGTGGGAGGCATGGAAAAGGTGCAGGAACAGTCCCCCCTCTGAAAATGACCTCTCAGTGAGGATGGTTCACACACAGCCTCAGCATTTGACACTTACTGGTGTGGAAGGTGCATTTTCTTCCCAGGCGCGTGTCTTTGCTGCACATGTGCCCACCTGTGCATGTGTCCAGGAGTGTCTTAGCAGTGCTGATATACACATGAGGGCAGGATCCCTCAGGCCATCCCAGTCCCATGGAGTTGTGTCTCTCACCATGAAGGCTGGATGGTGACTTTTGTTTTCTCAGTTGTCCACCTGGGAAAGATAGCTGTACTTCCACATACAGTGTGGAGGCTGGCATAACTGGCAGTGAGGACAAAAAGCAACTGTTCGCCAGACTGGAGCTTCAAGGATAGAAAATGTGTGCCAGCAGCAGGGTTGTTCGTGTGTGGGGTGGGAGAGAAGGGTTTTTAGGGTGATGGGGTTAATGCAAGCCGGAACATGAAAGCAGTTGGACCACTTCACTGCAAACGTATCCCACATGCCGGTGCCCAGCCACAATGACTGCTGTCATTGTTTTGATACTGTGTTTCTCCAGGTTAACCCAGTTCCCAGCACCCTTGTGATAAAGTGGTAGAGAGTTTCTCTTTTTAAAATTATTTTAATGGAACTCTCTTCATTCTCAAAAGAATCTTTAACTTGCTTTCCTGTGAAAGAGGTGTGTGTGTGTGGAGTGAAATAGAGGGGGCATGTGCACATGTGTGTGTGCTTGAGTGTGTGTGTAGGGTTCTCCCAGGACAAAACCTCCCTGCTGTATGGGTTCCCACTGGGATTAACCAGGAGGAGCAGAACTGAAACATGCCTTCTGGGTGCTTACTTGAGCCTGCTATTACTGATGCACTGGGAGCCTGTGGGTTAAACTGAAGACACACCCATGGCTAACCGTACCATGGTCGCCTTGGCTTCTGGGTCTTGCAGAGAAGATGCTGCTTGAGCTGTGCTGGCCAGGCAGCTCCATTTCCCACAAGCATGCCTTCACATGAGGGCCTGCTCAATCCTGGCCAACAGATGGGCTCAGTGGAGGGACAGTCTGGCTTTTTTGTGATCTCCAGCAATGCTATTCTGGGGATACTGGCACTTGCTGGTGGGCTGGCTGGCTCAGTCCCTCCCTGACCACTCTGTGTAGGGATTCAAACCCACCCTCCGTCTGCTCTTGTGGGGATGCAGACCCAATTCCACCTCTTTACAGTAAGCAGAGAGAGATGCAGAAAGTAACCAGCCTGGTGTCTGCCCTTACCTTGCTCCTTTTGCTTTTTCCTGCTTGCCTCTTGTTGCTCCTGAGACCTTGCCAGATTGTACTTGGTTTTAGTGCACAGGCCTCTAGCACAGAGTGGTCCCTTAGCCAGTACCTGGGGGGGAGAATGAGGCCTTCTGCAAATGCTGCTTGGGAAAGGGGATACTTCTCACATGTGTGCAGCTCACAGGGATAGCTTTGCTGATTCAGTGTTGGGGGCTTGTCCTGATTCTCACAGAGGGGTGCAAGAGAGAAGGAGACAGAATGAGATTACTATGCTTTTAAATCAGGTCTGCAGTAATGGCATGTTGTGTAAGAAAGAGTTCAAGTGCTCAGAGAGGTGTGTTCAAGGACATCAGTGCATTTGTGCCAAGGGGAATGTCTTTTATGGTAAATTAACTCCAGTTAAATTTAATATTTATTCAAAGGGAAACTCCAGTATTTAAAGCTGGTGTTATCAGCTTTTTGCAGTGTCTGGGTAAAGGAGAAGAAGATAGGATTTTGGGTGTATTCTACACCAGATATGAAAACAAATGTTGCTCATTGTGGTTAACCCCGCGTTTGCCTCATCTCTCCTTGCCTGAGCATATGCTCCAGACTTGTCACTTACCAGTGTGGTCTGTAGGAGGAAAAAGCCGTGGATGTTTGCTTGAACCCCGCAAATCTGAGGAAACCCGGCAAGTGCAGTCAGAAATTGAGCTGCGAGGTTGCAGCGTGGTTTCTGCAAGGGGTTAACGCATTGGGCTCTCGCTGTTTCCTTTGACATTACCTGTCTCGTGTGGACTCCCTCCTTCCCCCGCCCATCCCCCTGCTTCTTTTGGTTTGTAAATTTATAGGAATTGCAGCTAGTAGACTTGGCAAGCTCCCCTCATTAAGAGCCCTCTTTGAAAATGGGCTGTGTTTGACCATTTCCCTAATGAGGACAGGACGGGGTTAAAAAGTGACCATTTCATGGTTGACTTGAACCTGCCTACTTTTCCTTGATGTGTCGTTGTGAAATGCCTGACGTGAATAAACTCTCACTTCGGGCAGGGAGGAAGTCAGCGGTCCCTCCAGGGCGCTCCGGGGGCCGCGCACCGGCACCGGGAGTGAGGGAGGCAGCGCCAGTGACGCCCAGCAGCCCCTTTCCACCGGCGGCGAGGTGGTGGTGGTGGGGGAGATCGCAGACACTGAGCGCCTCCGTTACCCGCTGTACGCTGCTCTTCTCACGGGAGCAGGAATAAGTTTCCTTCACTGCTTCCACCCAACACTCCCCTTCTGCCCCGGTACAAGCGGCCCAGGGAGATTGAAACCGGACCCGGCACCCTACTGCTGCCTGCGAGTGCCGGGACAGCAGCCATCGGCGGTGCCGGGTGATGGGGTGCAGGGAGGGGTGATGGAGTGGGGGGGGGGGGGGGGCTCTCCCTCCCTCTGTCCTCTGAGGGGGGCCGGGGGCCGCAGAGGGGGCAGCAGCTGTATCCGAACTCTGCCGCCAAGGACGGGATCGTACCCCGAACGGTGGAGGGGGAAGAGACCTCCTGCAGATGGCAACCTTCCCCCCGCGACGCCTTTCTCTCCCCCCCCCCCCCCCCGCAACTTTCTCCCATCAGAAGAGAGGGAAAATGAGGGATGTTCGCAAAACGTGCTAGCTCCTTCTGCGGCGCTAGCTGGTGATTAATAAAGGGGGAGGGCAGGGGAGGGGGATCTGAAGAAGAAGGAATGTGTTTGCAGGAGGAGGAGGAGGAGTGTAAGCGGTGATTGTGTAATTAAATAATAATAATAATAATAAATACTTGGGTTTCATCTGGGCAGACCGCTGCCGCAGCAGCGCGGTCCGCAGGGTGTAACCGCCCCGTGTTCCAACTCCCAAGTTTTGAGGAGCGAAGGGACACACGCGCGCACACGCGGGACGCGGCGCTGACGCGCCGGGAGCGCACCGGGAAGGAGCGACTTGCCGTCTGACTTCCCGAGGAATCGCTTCTCTTACAGACGGCGTTCGGGAAGAAGCCCCTCGCCATTAAGCCCTCGGCGCGAGGGCGGGAGCTACCAGGCCGCGCGCTGCCCGCCCCGGTGCGCGCGCCCCCGTCCTCGGCTCGCGCCCGCCGCCCGCATGGTCGCTGCCCGGCGAAGTTTGGGCTGCCATCTCTGCCAGGGATCGTCCTGCTCCGCTGCGGGCTGTAACCTTGAACTTTGGCGAGCGCGGTGACAGAGCCGAGATAACAACGCACCGACACCGGCGTCTTTAGGGGGGGAAAGAGAAAGAAAAGGAAAGAAAAGGATAAAAAAATATAATAATCCCAAGCAACAACAGCAACAACCAAATCCTCCCCCCCCCCCCCCCGAGTCCTTCCCCCCCTCATCTGCAAAACAACCACCAGCAGCAGCCGCAGCAGCAGCAGCCAAAGCAAGACTCCTGCGCCGCCGACTACAAGAGGGTTAAAAGTGTAGATTGGATTTCACCCCGGGAAATCTAGCACACGGAGTGAACTTGAATCTTTGGCTATTTAAGGAGGACTGGGGTTTGTTGTGAAGTTCTGGTGATACAGGGCAGAGCCCCGTCCTGATTGATTTCATCTTTCTTGAGTCTCAGATGACTGTAAAATGGATAGATGAAATTATTCCTTTTTGAGGCTTTTCTTAGGGGCTCTCCGGGCAGCGTGTTCTCAAAGCGAAGTCATGATGTATTCTCCAATCTGTCTCACTCAGGTATAGACGCGTTTTACTTATTTATTTAAGCTTTTTTTTTTTTTTAATTTTTGCATGTATCTGAGTTGGTAATGAGTCATTTCTAGTCGTAATGGGTTAAAGCACAGTTGTAATTGCTTCGCTGATCAAAACTCCCTCTCGCAGGAGGGAATAGTAGAGAATAAACTGTACCAGGCCATTGTGTTGGGGAGATCCATTCAAAGTGTCACCCGCAGACAAGTACTGTTACTTGTTGGTGCATAAGAAGTCAAAGGTTAAGAAAATGGAAATGAGCATAATTACGCTAAGAAGCATGCTTGAGAAGTATTGATTTGATTGGAATCAAACGATTTGCTCTCTTTTCAGCTCGCCAGGCTAATTAAAGGGTTTGAAAGGAAAAGTGGTGGTTTTGAGGAATAACCCACCCCCCCAAAACCTAACGCTAGCCGGTGCGAAGTAATCCTGCCGAATGTTTCCTTAATAATAATAGGTAGCCTGCCAGCACCGAGGGCAATGCGAGCGGGACGCCCGAGCCGTGCAGCCTGCCTGGGTCGGCGGTACCAGGGCATGGCATTTCCCCGCTGCCGGCTACCCCGCGACGCTGGCAGGCGGGCGCATCCCCCCGAGGGCCGGGAGAGATACAGCCTTTCCTCACCACCGCCCTTGCGGCTGCTTTCCCGGGGGGCGGCTGTCACCGGGACGGCGGGAGGGAACCGGGCGAAGCCGCGGCCGGCGCGGCGCGGTGCACGGAGGGAGCGGGGAGGCGCAGGGCGGTGCGCGGAGAGGAGGGGGACAGCCCGAGCGGAGGTCTCCGCGGCGGCAGAGTGCGGTTTTTGAGGCTGGAGGGAGTTAAGGAGCGGGCTGAGAGAGTTAAGGAGCGGGTTTAGGGATTTCCTCGGCTGCCCCAGGAGCGTCCTTGCCGGTCGTACAGTAACGGGGAGCTGGCGCCGGAACACCGGCGAGCGAATCTGGTCTGTAAAGCCCAGGGATAGTTTTCAGAGGTTTTTGTGAAAGTCTGTTTTAGGAGGATGTGATGTAAACTGATTAAGCGATAACTGCTGGCTTTCACATTGGCGCAACAAATGGCTAAAGAAGCAGAAAATGGGAGAAAGTAACGTCTCCCTCAACGCTGTAGTTCAGCAGCCAGCGATGCTCCTACAGTGGCACGGTGAATAAATAAATATGATTTAAGTTATTCCACAATTAGAAAGCATTGTAATTCAAAAGGACTGAAGTATTCATAAATTGTGAATGAAGATGGAAACAACGATAAGGCTTATGCAGTGATTGGATACAGTCCTGTAGCTTTTTGGCTGACACATTTTTTATTGTTTATATTTTGTTTGGCATATAAGTGTGATTGACTTAGATATGGATATTTTCAGCAAGTAAATGTGAGCTGCAGCGAAGCAAAGCTGGAAAAGAGTACTGTTGAGATGCTTCTTCAGCAGAAAAAATGAGTGCATGTAGGAAGCGTTATGTGTAACAGATACGCACATGCTTGCAGGTACACACATAGAAATAATTACTTATGGTGGGATCTGCAATTAGTAAAAATGAATTCTGTGTGGGCTGTCCATCCTGTGAGATTATTGACAAGCAATTAGACCTGTGCACCGGAGTAAGACCTCAGAACAACCTGAGAAAGTGAATTTCACATTGGAAACATGCAAGTTTTTACTACCACCTCTATTACAATGAGTAGTTCATGTTATTTCCTGCCCTAATGACATTTCCCCTCCCCCCCCCCCCCCCCCGCCCCATGTTTGCTTATTGGACTCACAGATGTAATAAATTTCCTCATTCTTTACAAATCTGTATTAAAATACTGCACTCAGGTGTGTATGAAAACATTGCACTTCTACAGCCGTAAATATAGGAAAGCAGTTCCTGGCTTTCATGTGTCGATGAATTCCCCATGATATTTTACAATCATGCTGTGTCATGTGCCATGCAGAGACAGTTCCCATTTAGTGTTGCATGTGTGGAACACATTTGCAGCAAACTGCTTGTAGTTTGGAATCTTTCTCTACCTGTTTGAAACGGTAAAGGCATTTTAAAAATCACCTTTCCTCTCCATAAATTAAAAATGAAGATTTCACTGATGATGAGAATTCATACTTTGTGTTATTTATTTATTTAAAGCAAAAGAGTGAGTTGCGACTGAGTTAAAATAGCACTACCAAAATTGTTCTCTCTATTGTGTTCTCGGTCTCCAGGGCTCCTGGCGATGCATGTTGACTGTGGTAGTGTATGCTCAGAGGAAAATATTTTGGTAAAAGTTCTAAACACAGAACACCTGTTTGAACTGAGCTCCTGGCAAAAGCAGTAGTTCAGTTTGTGCTGCAACGGTGCTGAAGCAGCTTTTAGATACAAGTTTAAAACCCAGAGTACAGCTTTAAGACAAACCTTGGCATTTTGAATGCTACCCATCACTCTTCCAGAAAAAAAATGGTGGGTGTAAAATAACTCCAAGGAAGAAGATGACTTACCAAATACAATTTAAATTTTATTGGGGTCCTTTCCTCTCCTTCCCACATACCTCTTTCCCCCTATTTTGGAACGAGTGGAAACTGCATTTATCTCTCTTGCTGAGGCTTGATGGGATGCAGTTACTGCAAGCCTTTAAGTGCTTGGTCTCTTGTGATATTTTTGCCATGGTTTATTTTTATGTTAATGGTGGTCCAGGAAACTCAGAATATGTTCTTCTTTTTCTTTCTATTTTTTTTTTTCTTTCCCTGTCCTAGAATATATTAAGTCCAGAGAAGGGAAATTGAGTACATGAAGTTTTCCCTATAAAATTCTTGGACTTCTTAGAACAGGTGTATTTATTGTGTGCTCCTTAGTTCAAGCTTGCATGAACTGTTACAAAGTTTATAAAAGTGAAAAATGGGAGAAGGGCACTGCATTTCCCCTTTACCTTTCACCAAAAGAAAACCTGGCCTATCTATCATCATTAGATGACTGTTATTTTTTCCTTTATTTACAAGCTATACAGATGTTACACAATAACTTCCACCTTAATTTAAATTGCCAGTGCACAATGGTTCACCTGAAATATTTGATATGACAATTGAAAATCTTACCTCCATAAATCACTTTATTGCAAGAGCAACTGTGGCACATGAGTGAGAACCACATAAAAAAATAATTTCAGTATTGCCTGTATGAATATTAAGGGGTAAAAAAATCAAATTCTGTAGATGGCTTTTTAGGAGGTTTAGTGGAGAATGTGTGTGATTAATTGCAAATCTCCATTTAGGATCATTTTTATGGGCACTTCTTCTTGTCAAGTAATGTTTCATTTGAAAGGACTCCAGATGCACAATGAATTTCTCAAAAATCTCTGATAATATTGCTTTAGAACAGGATGTTCTTTACTGTGTTTCTCCTTCACACTCTTTCACATATATTTTTATCTTTAGGACTTACTGACATTATGAAAGAAAAGCCTGAATTAAAAGTCACATTCCCCCTCACCTTTTATTTTATTTTATTTGCTTTTTTTCCTCCATTCTCCTGAAAGGAAGCATTCGACCACTGTAAACAGGAATTTAGAAAGTTCATTTTTCCTCTGTAACATTTTCATAGATAAAATGCCATAGGTTATTATTGTAAATGCTATGTACATTACCTGAAGACAGAGCCATTCCAAAATAGTTTGTGTTGTTCTTAGAAATAGAAGAATGTTTTCTTTCTTTCTTAGAAAACTAGGTGTTCAATATTCTAGTAGCACAGAATATTTCCACATTAATTTCATTTCCATTTTCAGTTATGAATGTTGAAGTCTGTGTAGATATAGGGGAAGTCATTGTACTGGGGCAAAAATTAATTTCTACCAAAGCTCTTCAACCCCCTGCCTTCACTCCACCTTTAGCCCCAGCTGTTAGAATTTTCAAGATCTGTAGTAGACTGTTTTATTCAGTCTAAAATGAATTGTAAGGATTTAACACCATGTAGTCTTTATGCTTATGTTAATTAAAAAAAATAAAAATATTTGAATACTTCTATTAAGATGACTTCTGTTGAAGTAAAAATAAACTTTCTTTAGTAGTTATAATTGAGGGGGAAAAAAGCATGGCATCAGAAAGTGTATGAAGATAGGGAAGTCTTATCATGGGCTGTGGTTATTCAGAGCCGTATTGCCTTCCCACACAAAGAGCAGATTGTGGTTTAACTCTTTCCATGGCCTAGTTTTATGTGCCAGTATAGTATCAGAATTGTTCAAATCTCTGCCTGAAACTACTAATCAGTTTAATTATTGCCTTTGTGGCTCTTTGTCAAGCATCAGACTGTAATGCAATCTTTTATGTCCTGAATTATCTTCCGATATTGTCTCTCATTTTATTTTATTTTATTATTTTATTTTATTTTATTTTATTTTATTTTATTTTATTTTATTTTATTTTATTTTATTTTATTATTTTTTATATATAGCTTCCCCCTCCCCTGCGAAGGTAACATGCTCTTTAGGTAATCTGCTTCAACTTTCAAGTTGTTTTTTGTTTGACTTGAGAATGGTTAGGGATAAGAGGTAACTAGATCTAATGGGCTTTTTTACTATTCAGGAAATTTTAAAGTTTGTTTGAAATTTGAAGATTTAAATACTGAATTCTTGGCCTGAAGCTTCTACAATGGCAGTCTGAACCCTGTATAATTGAGACCATTAGTTATACTTTCATCATTTTTACCTAATGGAGTTAATCAACCTATTGATTAAACATAATTCATTCCTTGTCTAGCAGCGTGGCTAAAATATTAGTTTGATAATTGTATTCTTGAATATAATTGTATAAAAGAGGGTCAGTTTTAGTTTGATTGCACTGTGCCACTCAATATGATGAGCAATCTGCATGGTATTTAAAACTAAATTTGCTTGCACACAGGAAGAAAGATACCTCCCCTAAGGTCTCTCTTCCAAGCCAAAATACAGTAATGTTTGGTAAGCAGATCACGCAGTTCTAAACAGGGGATTTTCTCACAAAAAAGAAATTTTTGGGAAAGGCCTGTTTAGATATTAACATGAATGTGGAGGATGGTACTTTAAGCAGACAAAATGAATTAATTTAATTGCTATAGGATGTACTTGTAGACAACAACTAAGCATTACCTCCTTAATGCAATCCGTATCGCTGCTAGGCAGAAGATAAGAACTTGCAGGTGAAGCCAGATGTCAGAAAGGGATATTTTGGAACTGTAAATAAATTACATGGATTTCACAAAAGCAGCATTTCACCAGAGGTGCACTTGTAATGTCACTCTGCCACAGCATGCAGAAACACAAAGAATGCAAAGTTTGTGCCAAGTTGCCATTTTTCATTGTACACCTTAGATTGATTTTTAAGGGGTTTAGAATAATTGCCACACTCATGTGATCAGTTAACAAATTAACTGACTTTGTGAAGCCTCAAAACCCACAGTGAACCTACTGGAAGAACATAAATGTGATTTTTGTTTTCAACTTCATAAACTTTTATTTTACCTAGATTGGGGGCGGCAGGAGGGAAGCCCAAAGAGCTGAAAGTATTGAAGCTTCTGTTCAGGATTTGTATACGACACACTGTGTCTTTTGCCTGCTTTTCCTTAGTGTATACTGGTTTCTGTAGTTACCACCACTGGAATGGTGCTGTTTCAGTGCTGGAATGCTGGACGTTTGATAAGAAAATGGATCAAGTTTAATAGCGCATGCTCTTTGTGCCACCAGCAGTCTCTTGCTGAGAGCATGCTCCAAAAGCGGGAACTGTGTGGCATTACACTGAGCATGTATATGCTTTGTGTTTCTGTGCCACAGAGAAGAGAAATGAACTGTGGCATTCGCCTCAGCCTTCTGAACATTTCTGCTCAGATTTTTTAAAACCGTATAGTGTCCTCTTTGTGCAATGGTACTTTTCTTGATGTTAGCCGTTCACTCAGATATTTAAATGTTAGGAACGAAACATCTTGATAATGCATCTTTTTATCTTTTAAATGATGTTTCTGCAGTTTTGTGGGATGAAGTGAGGGGAGCCATACAAAATAAAATGTTCACATGGTTCTTTTGAAGAGTGAAATATAGGGAAAATGCAATTCTTTGTGTACTTTTTGTCTGCCGCCTGGCAGCGGTAGTAATTGCATAAAAGGTGTTATGCAGAAATTTGCGTGAATTTTAAGTGTTTATCCTATTTGTCTTGGATTTCACTTTAAAATTTTCAGAAACTTTGATTGATACTGCTTTGATTATGAGAATTTACTGACGCTGAGTTTTCTTCTTTTCTTTTTTTTTTTTTCCCCCTCCACTTCTTTCCGCAGGATGAATTTCACCCGTTCATTGAGGCACTTCTTCCACATGTCCGTGCAATTGCCTATACTTGGTTCAACCTTCAGGCTCGAAAACGCAAGTACTTTAAGAAACATGAGAAACGAATGTCAAAGGATGAGGAAAGAGCAGTCAAGGATGAGCTACTTAGCGAAAAGCCTGAAATTAAACAGAAGTGGGCATCCAGGCTCCTGGCCAAGCTGCGCAAAGATATTCGCCAAGAGTTCCGGGAGGATTTTGTGCTCACGGTGACTGGGAAGAAGCACCCATGCTGTGTATTGTCCAATCCTGACCAGAAGGGTAAGATTAGGAGAATCGACTGCCTGCGACAGGCTGACAAAGTCTGGCGTCTGGATCTAGTCATGGTGATCCTGTTCAAAGGCATCCCCTTGGAAAGTACGGATGGAGAGCGGCTCATGAAATCCCCACATTGCACAAATCCAGCACTTTGCGTCCAGCCACATCACATAACAGTATCAGTCAAGGAGCTTGATTTGTTTTTGGCATACTACGTGCAGGAGCAAGGTAGGAAGCAGATTGTTGTTTCTGTTTCCCCTATGGGCTGGCTTCTAGTGAAATGTTATTCTGCAGTCTATAGACGTAATGTGGGTGCACATCCATATGTAAATCAACATGTATACGTATATACTTACACACACGCACACACATTCCTACGCATCTGTGTAACTAACATGTATGTTTCACATACGTGCCTTGCTCTCTTTCAAGAGAGAGCGGGACATACCAAAGCAATACTTTAGTTTCACTGAATTTGCCTTTTCTTTTTGTCAGAAAGTGGCAATATTAGAAAGTGTAGTTTTTCCAGCGGTGACTTCAGAAAACATTCTTCTTGTTTTTCAATGTGTTGTTTTGTCTTTTTTTTTGTTCCCCAGTACTGTTAGTAACAGATGCAGGTATGTGCAATTGCTCAATCACAATAAATACTAAAAATATTTATTATTGTCTTTGTAGTTACAAATAATCAAGAATTCATCCTTAGATGGATGAACCTACTATCATTTTGAAGAGGACTTGTAGACTTTCTCATGTCTATAAAATAAAATACAAAAAAAACTTTAGCACAGAAATAGTGCTTTCTAGATGCCATTTGTAGTCAGAATTACAATTTACAGTACTTAACATTTTATTCATACTTTACCACACTAGCTTATCTTACCTATCCAAGCTTTAAAGCAAAGATCCAGGTTGGAATATTTTGAGAGAATTTTCCATGAAAAGTATATTTTCATAATCACACTTGAATACTTAATTTTATTTGACAGGTAATTGAAATGTGAAAAATTGCAGGAACACTGTGGAAAAGCTTCTTAAACTTAGTTTTAGAGAATGAAAACAAAAACAGGGCTTCTAATAATCATGTATCAGGGAAGAAAGTGCTAGTCACGTATTCAGATAACAATAATGTTTTGGCAGGTTCCATGAAATTGTAGATGGCTGTAAGTAGATAAAGTTTTTTTCCTCTCATACTAAGCCTTCTGAAATGCTTTTTCTCTGTGAGAGGTTATTTTGGTTCTTTCTGGTAATCATACCACCCTCTAGACGACTTTCTGTTGCTGACTAATCAGCAGGAATAGAGTATTTATGTTTTAGCCACAGATCTCAACTAATGAAAGTTTGTCTGGCTGCAGATGGTGGGCCATTTCACAGCTTGGCCTGGAAGCAGGCAGAAATGGTCTGCAGAAGGTCAGATGGCAGACTGTTATATGATGCCTGATACATAACTGCCGGATTTAACTGAAAAGCGGAATGGATTTTATTAGTAACAAAAAGTTAAAATTGCATGTTTTCATTCAGTGTGTACTCATCCTTTAAAAGAACAGATAACACGAAACAACCTTTTTTGTTTTCAGTGATTGGTCTTTTAGCATTTACTCATGCAAGTGGAGCACTATGTTTATGTGAATGTATAAATAGGGTTCATTTTTTTTTTTGGTTATTCATCATGAAAAAATATGTTCCATTGTGTTTTATTTTTTTTTATTTTTATTTTCCTGCTTGTATTTTTTGTATTTTTTCTCTCCACAGCAGTAAACAGCACTGTAGATGTTTTGCAGCGACTATAAGTAGCTGCAGAGTCCGGTAAATCTAATCCCCAATAACACAGAAAGATTTCTTTGATAGCATTAAACAAAATAGACTAATGACAAACAATTTGTATGTTTAAACTCCTTTTGTGAAGAGAAATTCAAATGATATTTTGAATGCATTTATTGGAAGACGTAGCTTACTGGTTAATTCTAATGGATTTACCTCTCTCTAAAAGTCAAAACTACAAAGGGAGGCAAAGCTGTTTAAGTAGCTCTTGAGCCAAAGAAGCTGGGGTCAGAGTACCCTTAGACACTGTCGAGTTTGAGTTGCTGGAAGCCAGTAACTTGAAGTGGGAAGAGGAATTGCAGGGCATAGCTAATATTCATTTAAATAGATTGAGAATATGAGTTTATTTAAAACACTTGTCTAACCAGAAATTAGTAAGATAAGCATGCTGTAATATTATAACTTTCAAAGTTATACGCTATTACTTTGACAATATACTGGAAGGTGAAGCTGGCTAATTTCTGTATACTAAGGCACTCTCAGTAGACCCTTTTGTTTATTGTAAACTGCATATATTTTGTATCTGTCTTGCTGTTCACAGTAAATCTTCCATTAACATCTGTTGGCTATTTACTTGAAGAAGTCATATTAAGTTATATCTTTGTATTTTTTTCCCCCCATTTTGTCAAACCTTGATTCTCTGTCCTCATTGGAAGCAGGTTAATTGTGGCACTTGATTAAGAGCGCAAGGCTTTGCAAAAGATAAGCATGAAGTCGACCAAAATGCTGCATTATACACATGCTGTTTAGCTTTTTATTTCTCTTTTAGAATATATAAACCTGCCTAATGGTATCACGTAAAAACTAAGCAGAAACATAGAAATAATTAAATCCCTGAATGAAATATGAAGAAGGAATTAGCACATAAAATGAATAAAGGGGCCAAGTAGTTTGTTTTTTTGTTGCTTTAAAAAAGATTAGGGGAAAAAAGAGGAGGAAGGATAGTTTGAGTGCCAGTGATGGTTGCCAGTGGCACCAGGATTGGCATCAGACCTTCTTTGTTTAGCCTAGGATGCCTGTGATTTGTTGGTTGGCATCCGCATTGCAGTGCAGAGTAATGTTACAATATATTGACAATTTCCAGATCCAGAAATGTCAATAATCCTTTCAGTTCTTAATAAAAAGAGCTTCTACTTCCACGCCTGCCTAGAAAGAAGAAATAAGGACCAACTTCCAAAGTTGACTAACTTCATCTGGTTCTACTTTTCGCTCATCTCCCTCAAAATTCAGCATCTTCTCCCCCCATCCATTCTTTTTCTGCTATCCTCATGTGCTTTATGAAGAAAAAAAAAAATAATAGAAAAAGGGGCTTGACATAGGTTGCAAAGCTGCTTCTTTGACAGAAATGAAGGAAGAAAATGGGAAATACACGCTGTGATCAATGTTTAACTTCAAAGTAACTCTTAATCATAACACCCTTCTACGGTGCTCTGCTTGTTGTGTGCATCAGGTCCACCCCCCCGCCCCCCCCTGAATTTTTAGAAAGCCCAGAACTTGAAAATAACATGAACATTGTTTCTATTGACAAAAATGCCTTTTCTTATTTTTTTTTTTCCCTTCTGTCAGGCATCAGAGAGTGTCTATCATTTGGTATGAAACGCATCTCAATCCGTAAAATCATTTGATGGTATTTGATTCAGTGCAGTGCTTATGCTGTGTTTCCGTTGCTACAAGAACCGCCATTTTGTTTGTCGAGTGCCAGGAGAGGGGGAAAAAAAAGGCAGACAATGTGCTTGATGCCAATAATGGTTGCCAGTGGCACCGAGGTTGGCATCAGACCCTCTTTGTCTAGTTGCTGAATGCCTTTGATTCGTTGGTTGGCATCCGCATTGCAGTGGGCACATTGGAAAGTTTTTGACAATCAGTGAATGAAAGCTGCAGTAGTTGTTTGCTGCAACAGAACCCAGATAATATAAATCCCTTCTTCTGGTAGATGTTTTACTTGCTCTTACAATGGCTAATAATAAAAATATAGTTAAAAATTGCCTTTGCTGTTTTTCTAAACCATAAAATATCTACAGCAATGTGCCTCCTCTGCAGAATTCCTAATCCCTGCATCATCTCTGCTGTTTTTTTTTTCAGCATAAATAAAATGCAAACTTGATGCTAGCACATACTGAATGAAGCATAGTGGACCTTGAGAAATTCTTTAGGAGTTTAAAGGGCTGAAGCAATGATACATATAAATGCTAAACATTTGTGTCTTTAATGCATGTGCATCTTGGAGTACATTTCTCCGATCAGTCATGTTGCTGTTTACACTCTCCTTTGTCCTTGCGTAAAAGTGATATAATTGGGGAAACCCATATCCCCAGCTGTTAATAAACTCTGAAGTTGAGGGAGGGGAGCATCTTTCAAACTATCCAAGAAGGAGGGCAGAAAATAGATGCAGATGTCCTTAGTCTGATAGTGTTCAGGCACTCCTGTTTTTTTAACTTCTTAAATCATTAAGATGCTGCTACAGTTCCAGCTGCATGACTTTGTTACCAGGAAATCAGCAAACAAACTAAATAATTTCTGTTGGAAGTTCCTAGATAGTTAGCATTACTATTGCTTTCCGGTTAACTGCTATTATCTCATTAATTAATAAGAAGGATTAGCAGCTCTACCCAAAGGGCTGCATAGAAGGAAGCCTGGCCTATGTGAATTGCCAGGCTGTGTCCTGTTTCTTAGAGATGGGGGGTGGGGGTGGGGGAGATGGAGGAAAAATCCCCAACCCAAAAAACAACAAGGGAAAGGAAGAGAAAGAAGAATAGAGAAGAGGGAGGGCTGGCTTCTGCAGCCAAGGTAGGGGAGAACTCTTTGTGCAGGAGGACCCCGTGCTGCGCTGCTAGGAGGTTGGCAGGTGCCCGGTGCTGGCTGCAGGCTGATGCTGCCTGCACACCACGTCTCCCTGCTTTGTACTTAGTATAAGTACCCTTTCAGATAGTCCCAGTAGCAGGGTGTGGAGTGCCGCATTTGTGTTGATCTGAAACTGGTTTGCTTTCCCCTAGCTGAATGCCAGCAAACTGGTAATTGTTGACCAAACTGGGATACCAGTTTCTCACTTAAGTAAGTCCTGGAAACATGTATGCACTCTTTCTTTCAAAAATGTGTTCTCCTTCCAGGAGGAATGATATTTTTTTTGTTTCAAATGTGATATATCTGAAGTGCAGGAGTGGGTGGGTAAGCTCTCAGTGTACCAGCTGTTTGATCTTTTTATTAAGCTTTGTGAGTTCTGTGAATTTGTTTCTATAGGGAGATCAAATTTTGAAATAGGTTGGTGGTGTCATTTTCATGTTATACTTTAGTTTTTATCTTATAGGTATAGGAAATGGATGACACAGTAATATTATACTAATACTTTTCATATTTGAAAATGATAAATAAAATTGTTTTGGTCAGTTTGCTGTGATCACAAGAAATTCCAC